ATATATATATATATATATATATATATATATATATATATATATATATGATATAACATTGTGGGATTGAAATCCCTATGTACTCACCAGGTTTCCCAACCTGACCCACTAAGTTTATTTGTATAACAGGTGTCGATATGAAGCTACATTACATTGAGAGATTAAAAGAGATGTAGATCACTAGTGTAAATGAATGTAAGGTCTGTTTATGCTTATGTTTTTGTATTGACGATGACATCCCAATGTTTTAAAATGAATAAAATACATTTCTTCATAAATGCTTTGATAATGTATTTATCATGTTTTTTTTGGGAACAAATTCCGCAACATTTTTCTTTAAAAGGATACTCTGATTTTCAAATAAATCATAAACAAATCAGTCTTTTCTGGCCGTGAAATTAGGGATGTCGCATTACGCCTAGCGTACGACCCTTTCCCTTAAAACACCAAATTATTACTATTATTATTATTTTGAATAAGCAGCAAAAGAAAATACTTGACAACTCGGGCATTACAGTTGATTTGGGTTGACTTTTGGGCAAGATTGTTTTTTCTAGTGTGTAGAATAAGGTTGGGCCTTGTATGTTTTGATAGGAGTATTATAGCATCTTGAGCTATAGTTCTGCTTATTTCGTCTGCTTCTTTCGTGATTCAGGTGAGTTTTCTCACGATACTATGTAGGATGCTAGTTGTTTATGTGATACTTGCATGGAAGACCATGTGGAGGCCCCTTTCATATGTATGAAAGACCAGGTGGTGACTCCTGGCAAATTGTATGCAAGACCAGGGTCTGGCCCCCGACAATTATTTATATGTTGCTAGTTGTCTTTGTGATGCTCGCAAGGAAGACTAGGCGGTGGCTCTTGGCATTTGTAAATAAGACCAGGATTTGGCTCCTGGTATTATAAGGAAAGACCATGATTGGCTCATGGCTGATAGTGATAGTCAGACTATGGACGACCCGTAACATTCTCTATCTTATGTATGGTATGTGGTATTTTATGGTACTCATTAAGCTTTGTGCTTACAGTTTTATGGTTTAAACATTTTCACGTACTTCCAGCTCCAAAGGGAAGGACCCAACTTAAGTGCACAACATCCCTGATGCTTTTTCCGCACTGATTACTTTTGATTTACTCTGATGTTTGAAAAATACACTTTTACTTTATTATAGTTTTGGAACAATTGGTTGTATGACTTGATGTTTAAAATGAAATTTTTTATAGGCATTTTTGGGATGTTACACATTTTTCTATGATTTTACAATTTTCTATTTTTTTGGGTAACAAATCAACTTTAATTCAAATTTTAAAAATAAAAAATCTTATCCTAATAACATTATCAAAGTATATGATATCTATCTTTTAAAAATCCTACTAAATCTCTCAGATTTTAATATGTACCAAGAAATCGGGGATACATTCTTCTAATTACCTTATTTATTATTTTTTTGATAAATATAATAATTTTAAACATACCTACCGAGGTTTCCACGGATTATAACCTATTATAAAAATAAAAAAAGAAAAAAACTTATATTAAATGGGTAAAACAAGGTTTTTATACGGCGACAAACCAAAACCATGATATTTGGAAACCATGCACCTTATAAATTTTTCAAAAGTTGGACGAAAATACAAATTTGGTCAAACTATAGGGACCATATTTGTAATTTACTCCTAGGACAGTTATTTTCAAGTGGCCTTCACGCATGGGATGTCAAAATACATTAATTAGTCTCAGACAAAGCATGGGATAATGTAACTTTTACAGCTTTAGAGGAAGAGCCAAGAACAAAAGCACAAGTACATTAAACCAATGATACACACTATTATAAAACTACATGGACGACCCAAAGCTATACCGATGCGCCAGCCGACTAATGAAGCATGCCATCAAGCTTTCAAAACTTCTTTAAAATACTATTAAAGGAGCATCTATTTCTCGATGCTCACAAACGAAAGAAAACTGGATAATATGTTCACGTGGGAGTGAGAGACAATAAAAAATGTTGTCAATTAGTCACGTGTTTTGGAGAATGGCCGTCGACGGTTCTGAATAAAGATAGAGCGAAACGATATTTTATTTATCTATTTATTTATCTCTCAAGTGGATGTATGATTTAATTTTGAGTATATTCCAGTTTTGATTTAATTTTGAGTAAATTACAGTTTTGGTTTCTATCAAAATCAGTTCAAATTAAAACAAAACACTGAGCTTCATATCCACCAATTGAAAATTGAAAAAACAGAGGAAAGAATTACATTCAACAAGCAATTATTATAACTAGAAATTACTTCCAAAAAGACCACATAAGGTATTAAATATTTGCATCTGAGGATCTTCAAAATATTAAAAAAAATCGAAAGATTAGTACACCAGGGAAAAAACCGATGCATGGACCTTTTGAAAGAACTCGAATTGGATTTGCTGGTGTGTGTAATAACTGATGCAACCGAGCGGTGACATCAATTTGCCATTGTCGTTACTTCAAATTAAAAGGGGGGAAGAAGGTCTGCGCTCAACCAATCTTGTACAATCTTTTGAAAATAGAAATCCCAAGTCGGAGTCGGAGGTGAATAAGGGAATTTTCATGTTGCAAAGGCCTATGTAAGGGGCAGAGTATGAGAGGTATAAACCGATTCTTATTAACCATTATACAAATAATTACAATGGTATAAATACAATTACAATGAATATACAAAAGGAAATAAAATCAACTTAAATTAGGAAAGGATATTCATCTCTCTCTCTCTCTCTCTCTCTCTCTCTCTCTCTCTC